TGAGAGTACAGGACAGCCAGCAGGCCTATGATCTGAGGGGAGGCACACGCTTACATGAAGTGAGGTAAGTGCTGGACCCTGTAACAGACTGAATCTTGTCACCTGCAAGAGACAGACCTTCTCTGAGGCACAGTGCAAAGGGCAGCCCAGAACCTGAAAGTGGGGCAGACGTTGGAAAAGAAGAGCTCTCAGGAGACCAGCCCCCACCTGGAGCAGGGTGACACTGGGGGAAGCCGAAGGCTATCACACACTGAGTGACATCATAGCAACAGTAGGCTTTTAGCCTGGCCTAGAGCTTAATTAGATTGACTCTGATATAGTGGAAGGGAAGCCATGCCCAGTCCCTGCTGTCTGATATAATATGTTCAGTTCTCAGCAAATTATGAAACATACAAAAAGCAAGGGAAAAAACCTCCTAAGAGACAAAACAGTCATCGGAACAAGAGTCAGGCAGGACACAGACATTGGAAATAACTGAATAATGAATACAGGATCCAAAGGATAAGGTAGGCAACATGCAAAACCACATAAGGAATCACAGGCTAGAGAGGCAACATAAAAGAAAGAATCAAGTGCAAATGCTAGCAACGCTGGAGGTAAGTGAATGCCATTGATGGGTACTCAACTAAGAAGAGAATCAATGAACTTGAAGGTGGATGAATAAAAATGACACAATATGAGACAGAAAGAAAACAGGACATACAGGGTAGAATCTCTTAAGAATTTAGGTGTACTTCCTTGGCTGCCCAGTGGTTGAGATGCCATGACTCCGGTGCAGCGGATGTGGGTTCAATCCCTGATTGAGGAACCAAGATCCTGCATGCCATGTGGCCCAGCTGGAAAAAAAAAAATTTGAGGACAGGATTAAATGATCTATTAGGAGTAATTGGAATCCCAGAAAGAATACTTGAAATAATGGCTGAGATTTTCCACATTCAAAGAACATCAAGTAGCATAAATACCAAAAAAAAAAAAAAAAATGCGTGGGCATATCATATCCAAACTAAAATAAAACCAAGCGAATATATTGAAGGTAACCAAAAGAAAAAAGATTATAAACAGAGAAAGAAGGATAAGAATAAGAATTACAGTATACATTTCTTCAGAAACCATGAATGTTAGAAGACAGTAAAAGCTTCAAAGGAGAAAGCCATAAATGTAGAATTATACACCTAGTGGGAAATATCCTTCAGAAATGGAGATACAAAGATTTTTCTCAAACAGAAGCTACGGGAATTTACTGCCAGCATTAAATTTGTTCTGTAAGAATCCTAAAGGAATTTGTAAAGGTAGAAGGAATAGGATGCCAGACATAAAACTTGAATCTACACAAACCAATGAAGAACACTGGAAATGGAATAAATTAAGATGAAATACCATGGGCTTCCCTGGTAGCTCAGATGGCTAAGAATCTGCCTGCAGTGCAGGAGACCCAGGTTCAATCCCTGTGTCAGGATGATCCCCTGGAGAAGGGAATGGCTGCCCACTCTAGCATTTTTGCCTGGAGAAGTCCATGGACGGAGGAGCCTGGCTGGTTACAGTCCATGGGGTCCCAAAGAGTCAGATATGACTGAGTGACTAATACTTATGCACTTAAGATAAAATACATTTTATTTTTTTAGTTACTCTGAAAGATAACTGACTAAAACAAAAAGAATATTTTGCATTTATAATGTGTGTAAAAAATACTGCAAAGAACAGGAGCTAGGTATTGGGAATATATTGCTGTAAAATTCCTTCCAAATGTTATTATTTGGAGTATATTGATGAGATAGAAACTGACTTCTTACAATATGTATGTAAACTTCAGGATAATTATTAGTAAAAACTTTTAAAGAAGTATAAATAATGTCAGTAGACTTGGTAAAATGTAATTTAAAACACTTAACCCAAGTGAGACCGAAAAGGAAGAAAAAAGAAACAAACCAAAAAACCCAGATGGAACAAATGGAAAACACCTAGCAAGAGGTATGGCAAAAACCATCACAATATTGTAATTATCATCCAATTAAAATTTTTAAAAATGGGTACATTTTAATCCAACAGCATTGATCACATCAAATGTGAATGATCTCAATATACCAGTGAAAAGACAAATTGTCAGATTGGATGGAAAAGCAAGATGCAACTGTATATTGTCAACAAAACCCATTCTGAATATTAAAAACATAGGATAAAAGTAAAAGGTTAGAAAAGATGTGCCATGCTAACAGGAGTCAAAAGAAAACTGGAAAGCCCTGTACTAAGGTCAGACACAGTAACAAGCCTTTAGAACAAGGCTTTCAGAGCAATATTGCATAAAGACTAAGAGACTGATTCTCTGAGAACATAAAATAAGACTGTTGATGCACCTAACACCAGAGCTTCAAAATATGTAATATGAAGCAAAAATTGATAAAAAAAACTTCAAGGAGAAATAAACAAATCCATAGCTATAGTTGGAGACCACAGCATATCGAAACCACAATGAAATGTCACCTCACACCCATCAGAATGGCCACCATCAAAAGGACAAGAAATAACAAGTGTTGGTGAGGACCTGGAAGAAAGGGAACCCCTTTATACTATTGATGGGAATGTAAGTTGGTACAGCCACTGTGGAAAAAAGTACGGCGGTTCCTCAAAAAATTAAAAATGAAGCTACCATATAATCCAGCAGTCTCATTTATGAGTATTTATCTGAAGAAAATGAAAACACTAATTTGAAAAGATACATGCATCACTATGTTCATTGCAGAATTATTTCCAATAACCAAGACATTGAAACAACCTAAGTGTGCATCCGTGGATGAATGGATAAAGGAAGTGGTATAAATAGAGAATGGAATACTATTTGGCCATAAAAAGAATGAAATTCTTCCCTTGTGACAGCAAAAGGACTTTAGGAGAACTGTACTGTGTGAAATAAGAAAGACACATGGCATATGGTTTCACTTATATGTGGAATCTAGAAATAAACAACAGCAAAAAACCTCATAGACACAGAGAATAAATTGGTGGTTGGATAAGTCTCCTCTATTGGCTGCTTCTTCTCTACAGAAAGTTCTTCAGTGCTCCAGCCTGTGGTCTTTTTTTCTCTCTATATACCTCTGCTATCTGATTTGGTGACAACTAGCCATATTTTGCAATTTAAATACAAATAAATTACAAATAAATAAAGCATAAAATGTAGTTCCTCTTTTGCTGTAACCACACTTCAAGTGCTTGGTTGCTGGATGTGGTGTTAGTGGCTACCAGGTTGGACAGTATAGATAACAGACAATTCTGTCATCATAGAATGTTCTGTTGGACACCAATTCAGCACAGGCAGTGCCATGCCCTTTCTGTCACCACACATCAGAACGCACTGTGTCTGTCACCCCCTGCTTAGTGATGCCAGGATCCATCAGTTGTACAGGTAGCAGCATTGTAAAAGTCCCCATCAGCCTTTCATCTTTCACCTGTTTGTTCCTTGATAATCTTTGCCTGAAACATTTGTTTCACTCCTTTTTTAAAAGGTACATATGCAATTGTTCATGTAATTGTTCTGTGTGGTATCTTTCTATATCTGCTTATTTAAATCTGAGCTCATTTTTAATAGCTATATAATATTGAGCATGTCTATTCTAAAGTACCATATATCTACCCTAAAATATCATGATTTAATTTTGTTAAATAAGTATATATTCTCAAGAATATATTTTTAATTGGACATCCTTTCATTATATTTCAGATGAGCAGAAGACCTGCTCTTCCTTCCAGACAGTGAAAAATAATAGCATATACACTGAGTCCTGTGAGGATTTGAGAAAGGATCAGCATAGCCCATCCTATCAGCAGATAAACTGTATTGATAGTGTTATCAGGTATGAGACACAAGTTAACATGTTAGTTTTTCCAGAAGTGTGTGTTGTCACTGTGGAGCCTTTATATCATTTTTAATAGCTGTTGTCTGGATTTTTCACCAGCTATTGTCCTGATTTTTCACTATATATCAGTAGATACATGCTACCTACGATTCATAATAAATTGAACAGTTAAGGAGATCCTGAAAGTTAGATGCTTCCCTTCTTTGAATATAGTTGAGAAGACAAGACCTGTGCTCTTAAGAACTAAGTTGTGAAAATCAGTGCAAGATCGTGGTAAGGGACTATATAAGAATCCCTTGATGGGGGCCCAGATGGTCAGGGAAGACTTCACCCAAGAAGACAGTGAAATACCCCAAACAGAAATGGCATAAGGAAAGCAGAGAGGTGAGAGGTGACCACGTTTGGGGCAGGTAGGAATACATGGCCGAATTATTAATATACAGGTACCTGAAGAGCTACCACATCCCAGCTTTGAAGAGGAAGTGTATCTCCTCTGGAAATACAACTTCCTCATCCTCAGAAGAGGACAGACAAAGCCACAGAGCGGATGATGTCCAGGTGCAGGGTGAGAGGGGTGTCTTCCGTAGTTAGATCAAGAGAGCCACCCCTCTCTGTTTCTCTTTCCTCTTTTTTTTTTTTAAGCATTTTAAATAATTTACTTGTTTTATTACTTTAGGGTGCACTGTGTCTTCATTGTACATGCGGGCTTTCTATAGTTGCGGCGAGTAGGGGCTTCTCTTTGTTGCAGCACATTGGCTTCTCATTGCAGTGGCTTCTCTTGTTGCACAACACAGGCTCTAGGCACTTTGGCTTCCGTAGTTGGAGCTCATGGGCTCTAGAGCTCACAGGCTCAGTAGTTGTGGCCCGCAGGCTTAGTTGCTCTGCGGCATGTGGGATCTTCCCAGACCAGGGATTGAACCCGTGTCCCCTGCAGTAGGTCAGTTCTTAACCATTGAACCACCAGGGAAGCCCTGTTTTTCTTTCTTCTTTTGCCTTTAATTATGTCATTGTAATCACAAACAATCCTAGTTTCATATTGCCTCTACATAGCCAATAGGTTTTAACCTATCGGTTATAAATGTCTGTAAGCTGTTCAGGTGTGTAATATGAATTTCCTGTTGGGAATTTTTCTTTCCACTATTACATCACCAGCTGTTTCCCAGATCCCAGCTGTACCTGCATCAGAAATTCCCACTAATGGACAGTCCACAGACGCTGAAGGAGGAGCTCCATGGACCCTGAGCACAGCGACTCTGAGCCTGGACACAAGCCAGTGCAGCTCCAGCAGTGTCTTTGTCGACATCCCACCACCAGACTCAGGTACCACGGTAGCTTTTACTTTAGAATACATGCAACGTTAAATACAACCATTGTAAGAACAAGTCTTTAATACCATTTACTTAGTAAAGATCTTTAAGATGGATATTTTTTCTCTAGTAAAGTATTTTTGGAAATATCATCACGTTTATAATGGTCAACATATTTTGGACTGTATCTGCTAGTTATGTCATTTGCCAGTCAACTCTTCTGACACATGTGAAGCACCTAGGATGGTACCTGGTATGTAGGTAGTGAGCCATCAATTAGTCTTCACCATTATTAATCCAATTATTGTTGGGACTGCCTTGGGTCACTTTGTTGCTGACCTTGAAAGAGTGTGTTCATTTTGAACTTGGACTGCAGTGGTGACTAGGTAGATTATACATATAAACACATTCAAATTTTTGTACTGGTCTGATAAATGAGGAGTGTATGTTTGAAGCTTTCTTCCTTTAACATAGTGACTTAGTGATGACATAGAGACATAGTGATGTCTCCTTTTTATTCCATTTTGCTCTCACCTGTCCTTTTGACTTTTGCTTTCTTCATAAGGATTTAATAGGTGAGGAAATGGTGATAAACATGTCCAGTCAGGTTTTCAGATTGTGTCTAACTTATCTTTGCTGGTCTTCAGTGGAATATAAGTGAACATATGCTGAGCTGTTACTGTGTGCCATCCCCTGCCCTTAGTTCTTCATATAAATTAATTCTCTTAATCCTCACTCCACCCTTTGATATGGAGAGCATTATATTGACAAGTGGACTGTGGATGGTGGGAAAAGACCAGAGAAAGACACAGCTATTGTGAGATTAGTTTATTTCTATATATTTTTCTATTATTTCTAATTAGCCACAGATAGACTTTTATTGGAATTGAACTAGTCCCTCAGGATGAGAGCAGATGCATATCTTTTAGTGTATGTGTTCTTAATGCTTCGGATACCTATGTGGGCATGGAGCAGTCAGTGACACAGTCAGTCCGTGCAAGGTGGTGTCTTGCCTGATACAGAAACCTCTTTTTTTTTAATATGCCACTAGACTTCGTATATTTTGGTCTTATGTTAATACTACTTTGAAAGAATTCATACTGAAATCTGTATGCTTTCATTTAAGGAATAAGGAATATTTACTGATAAGGTTTTCTCCTGATCTTACACCAGTCTTAGCATCTGCAAGTCCACCTCTTTATTCTAAGGAGAGAAAACAGAATCAGAGCCCAGATGGTCTTGAGCTGCATCTGTCTTTTGCTTTCTGGGAAGCCCATATTCCTGGGGTTTACACCCTATTCTGATGATGAGTTGGGTTTGAGGACCATGCCATAACTAGCACCCAGTGCAGCCAAATTTTAAAAAATGAAGCAGAAGAAAGGAAATAATAAAGATCAGAGTAAAAATCTTTTAAGTAGAAAACAGAAAAATAATAGAGAAAAACAATAAAATTTTAAGCTGGTTCTTTGCAAAGAACATGAAATTGATCAAACTCTAGTAGTAAGACTGATCAGGGGGAAAAAAGGGAAGATAGTTATCAATTTCAGAAATGATAGAGGAAACATCCCTAGAAATCCTATCATCACTAGATATCAAAAGAATAACAATAGAACATTATAAATAAGTTTTCCCAATAAACTTGACAACTTAGACAAAATTGACCAATTGTTTGAGAGATACATACTAAAATCACTCAAGAGGTAGGAAGCCTGAATAGCCTCATATCTATTTAAAAAACTGAATTTGTTGATAAAAACTTCTCCAATAAGAAAACTCCAAGCCCAGATGGTTTTACTAGTAAGTTTGAGCAAACATTTAAGGAAAAAATAATATCAATTCTGTAGTTCCCTGACCAGGGATTGACCCAGGCCTCTTGCATTGAGTGTGCAGAGTCTTAACCACTGGATCACCAGGGAAATCCTTGCTTACTTTTGTTTTACCTTGCTCTTGTTTTTCGAGTTTCTTAAGATACAAGCTGAAGTCATTGATTTCAGACGTTTTTCTTCCTTAGTGGATTTGAGTATAAACTTTCCTTTTACTCTCAGCTGCATTTCACACATTTTGATGTATTTTGTTTCATTTTCATCATGTTAAATGCTGCCTAATATTCCTTTTAATATTTTCTTTGAAATCTTTTATATTTTCATATGTAAACTCCAATACTTAGGCCACCTCATGCGAAAAGTTGACTCATTGGAAAAGACCCTGATGCTGGGAGGGATTGGGAGCAGGAGGAGAAGGGGATGACAGAGGATGAGATGGCTGGATGGCATCACCAACTCGATGGGCATGAGTTAGAGTAAACTCCAGGAGTTGGTGATGGACAGGGAGGCCTGGCGTGCTGCGATTCATGGGGTCACAAAGAGTCAAACACGACTGAGCGACTGAACTGAACTGATATTTCATCATAAATTATTTAGCAAACATTTAGAGATTTTCCATACTTCTTTATTGATTTCTGATATAATCCCATTGTGGTCAGAGAAAATACAAAACTTGAACTCTTGAATTTATTGAGACTTGTTTTATGGTCTATAATATGGTCTATCTTGGTAAATGTTCTGTATTCACTTGAAAAGGATGTTTATTTTGTCTCTGTTGGGTTGAATATTCTATCAGTGTATAAACTAGGTCAGGTTGGTTGATAGTTTGTTCAGTTATTCTCTGAATATTCTGATTTTCTGAATACTTGTTGTACCTCAGAAGGGTGTTGAAGCCTCTGGCCATAATTGTGGGTTTGTCTATTTCTCATTGCTGTTTTGTTGGTTTTCACTTTGTGCATTTTGAAGCTGTCTTAATTTGTGCATATTGTTGTTGTTCAGTCGCTAAGCTCTGTCTGACTCTTTGCTATGCTATCCCATGGACTGCAGCACGCCAGGCTTCCCCGTCCTCCACCATCTCCCAGAGTTTGCTTAAACTCATGTCCATTGGGTCAGTGATACCATCTAACCATCTCATCCTCTGTCACCCCCTTCTCCTCCTGCCCTCGTTCTTTCCCAGCATCAGGGTCTTGTTTAGAATTGTTTTGTCCTTTTGATTAATTGATCCTTTTATCATTGTGAAATGACTTTCTTTATCCCTTGTATTTTCTTTCCTCTAAAATATACTTTGTCTATATTAATATTTTCTCTCTAGCTTCTTTTTTATTAATCTTATATCTCTTTCTAATCTTTTACTTTTAACCTATGTATGTCTTGGTATTTAAAGTGGTGTTTATTTTAGTTGTTGCTTTAGAGTTTATGGTGTATGCATTTAATTTTTCACAGTCTGTCTTCTAGAGATATTATACCACTTCATGTATAAAAAACTTAAAATACTATACTTCCATTTACCCGCCTTGGTCTTTGTCTGTTGGCATATATTTCTGCATGTGTTAGAAATCCCACCCTATGTTGTTATTATTTTTATGTAATTATTATCTTTTAAAGAAATTTAAGTGTTTTTCCCTGTACTCATCTCTCAGTGTTTTTCATTCCTTTCTGTAGATTTATCTGGTATCATTCTTCTTCTGCCTAAGGCATTCCTTTTATATCTCTTATAGTACAAATCTACCAGTGATAAATCCTTTACATTTTTGTACATCTGAAAGTGTCTTTATTACACGTTCATGTTTTAAACACATTTTAACAAATCATAGAATTCTAGGGTGACAGTATTTATCTTTTAGTACCTTAAAGATGCTGTTCTACTGAATCCTCATTTGCATTGTTTCTGACAGGAAGTCTCCTGTCATCTGTATTGTTTGCATATATATGCAACTTCTGGCTGCATGTAAGATTTTCTCCTCATCATTGATTCGACAGTCTGATTTTGATGTTCCAGGATGTAGTGTTCTTCATGTTTTTTGTACTTGGAGTTTATTTGGCTTCTTGGATTTTTAGGTTTATTGTTTCCATCAAATTGAAAAAACTCCTTCCCTTATTTTTAAAATATTTTTTCTGTTTCCCTTTTTCTGGGACTCAAGTTATATGTATGTAGGCTGCTTGAAGTTGTGTCACAGTCCACTGATGCTCTGTTCATTTACACTTTTTCATTTTTTTAGGTTTTTGTTTCATTTTGGGACAGTCTCTATTGCTGTGTCTTCAGGTTCACTAGTGTTTTCTATTGTAAAATCTGTCATTATTTCCATTCAGTACCTTTTCCATCTCACATATTATAGTTTCCATTTCTAGAAGTTCTATTTGAGTCTTTTTAATATCTTCCATGTCTTTATATAGCATATTTAAAATATCTTCCTTGTGACTGTATGAAATACAGTATAGCTGTTAATGTTCTATCTTCCAGTTCTAATTCTCTCCCAGCCCAGGGTTGGCTTCGCATGATTAATTTTTCTCCTTTTTGTGGGTGTACTTTGCTGCTTCTCTGCATGCCAAGTAGTCTTTGGTAGGATAGCAGGCACTGTGAATGGGTGCTGAATATTCCTGTTAACATTGTTGAGCTTTATTCTGGGACCCAGTTTAGCTTCATGGAAACAGATGGATATTCTCAGGCTTTGCTTTTAAAATTGCTTAGGAGGGTAGGACCCAGAGCTAAGGCAGGCCCCCGGCCCCCTCCCTCCCGCGTCAGTGGCGGGGCGCCGGAAGGGGCGCGGGGCGGGGTGGGGAGTGACTGGGCGGTGCCTGCGCAGCAGACATGCCGTTTCCAGTCACAACACAGGGATCACAGCAAACATAGCTGCCACAGAAACACTATGGCATTACTTCTCCCATCAGCTTAGCAGCCCCCAAGGAGACTGACTGCCTACTCACACAGAAGCTAGTTGAGACCCTGAAGCCCTTTGGGGTTTTTGAAGAGACAGAGGAACTGCAGCACAGGATTTTAATTTTGGGAAAATTAAATAACCTGGTAAAAGAGTGGATACAAGCAATCAGTGAAAGCAAGAATCTTCCACAATCTGTAACTGAAAATGTTGGTGGGAAAATTTTTACATTTGGATCTTATAGATTAGGAGTACATACAAAAGGTGCTGATATTGATGCATTGTGAGTTGCACCAAGACATGTTGATCAAAGGGATTTTTTCACCTCGTTCTATGATAAGTTGAAATTACAGGAAGAAGTAAAAGATTTAAGAGCTGTTGAAGAGGCATTTGTACCAGTTATCAAACTGTGTTTTTATGGGATAGAGATTGATATTTTGTTTTTAAGATTAGCACTGCAGACTATTCCAGAAGACTTGGACTTAAGAGCTGACAGTCTGCTTAAAAATTTAGATATAAGATGGATAAGAAGTCTTAACGGTTGCAGGGTAACTGATGAAATTTTACATCTAGTACCAAACATTGACAACTTCAGGTTAACCCTGAGAGCTATCAAACTGTGGGCCAAACGCCACAACATCTATTCCAATATATTACGCTTCCTCGGTGGTGTTTCCTGGGCTATGCTAGTAGCAAGAACTTGCCAGCTTTATCCAAATGCAATAGCATCAACTCTTGTACAGACATTTTTCTTGGTATTTTCTAAATGGTATGTGTTTAGATTATATTAAAATAAAATTGATTGTAAAAAAAATAAATAAAATTGCTTAGACAGGAACAGAGCAGTGTAGGGAGGTCTAATTCTTCTCTACTACTGAGGCAAGACCCTTAAGAGTATCCTACTCAGTGCATGTGGGTTATGAGATCTTCTAGTCTGGCTGACGGGACCGAGCCCCGTTCTCCACCTGCTGTGAGCTTCAGTCTGATCCTTTCAGGTGATTTTTTTCCTCACATGAATGAACTGCTGAGGACTTGGGGGTTCTCTGCAGATGTCTGGGGGCCTCTCTGTGTGGCTGTCCTCTCCACTCATCTTCCTGAACTCCAACCACTGTCACCTCCCCAGACTCTCAGCTCTGTCTCTGCCCTCGGGGAGCCCACCTTATTCCTCGCTCTCAAGGCAGTAGCTGGGTAGGCCTGAGGCTCACCTTGTTTTCAATCCCTTAGGATGTTTTGTGTCTTAGGAATTATTGTTTCACATATTTTGTCCCTTCCTAGTTATTTCAGCCTAGAAGGTCAGTCCAACCCCTGTTCCTCCATCTTGGCCAAAATCTAAAGCCCTCTGTCCAGTGTGTTGACTTAGACCAATCAGAGCCCGTTTCTGGAAGTGGAGTGGGACCAAGCCTACTCACACATCAGTACCACACAGGAGAGGAGAGGGGGAATGGAGGCTGGGAGGACCCACCAGTGTGTGCTGTAAAATCTTTTGTACCTAGAAGAAGTAATGTTTAGAAGCCACCCAGCGTTTGTCTGCAGGTGGTTATGGGCATCCCTGTGGCTCACCAGTAAAGAATCCACCTGCCAGTGCAGGAGACATGGGTTTGATCCCTGGGTTGGGAAGATCCCCTGGAGAAGGAAATGGCAATCCACTCCAGTGTTCTTGACTGGGAAATCCTATGGACAGAGGAGGCTGGCAGGCCACAGTCCATGGGGTCGCAAAAAGTCAGACACAACTTAGCAACTAAACACCAACAACAGACTGTTACTTTAATAAGCAGTGGTATATAAATAAAAGGGTCTTCCCAGATGGTGCTAATGCAGGAGACATAAGAGATGTGGGTTCAGTCCCTGGGTTAGGAAGATCCCCTGGAGTAGGGCATGGCAACCCACTCTGGTATTCTTGCCTGGAGAAGCCTATGGACAGAGGAGCCTGGTGGGCTACAGTCCATGGAGTCGCAAAGAGTCAGACACAACTGAAGCAACTTAGCATGCGGCATGCATGCACATAAAGTGGAATCCTATGTGATGTACTGATAAAAGGGATATTGTTAAATGAAAAATTTGCAGGTTAGTGTACAAGATTATATGCCTTTTGGGTAAAAATGAGGAAGAGGGATAAGAATCTATATCTGTACTTATTTACATATGCTTAAAGAAAGTAGATAAATAAGCAAATAAAGGGTTTTCTGTGGGGAGAATAAATGAGAACTAGGCAGGTGTTAAAAAGTGTTGGGGAGAAGCTACTAAATGTCTAACACATGTTGATTTTTGAACCACATATTTATATTACATATTAAAAGATTAATCCAGAGCTAACAATTTTTCCAAGAATTTATGGAGATAAAAAATATTTACAGTGAAAGCAGGATCTAAATAAATGTGTGCACATTGAGCATTACAACTCTAAAATGTATGTAAGTAAGTAAGTGAAAGTCACTCACTTGTGTCCAACTTTTTGTGACCCCATGGACTGTACAGTCCATGGAATTCTCCAGGCCAGATTATTGGAGTGGGTAGCCGTTCCCTTTTTCAGGGGTTCTTTCTAATACAGGGATCAAACCCAGGTCTCCCACATTGCAGACGATTCTTTACCAGCTGAGCCACAAGGGAAGCCCAAAATGTATATATAAGTATGCGAAGAGTGTAAAACAAGGCCGAAAAATAAAAATGTACCTGCTAGATTGATGGAGGTTTTATGTTCCAACCATTGTAATGATTGTAAAAATTTATTGAAAGGCAGTTAAATTAGTGAAAGTAAATAAATACAAAATAACCAGTTGGAGTGAAAATTAAATCTGTCTTCTTCCGCTTCAGCGGAATTGACTCAGCAGAGCACATACTGCTGGTGTGTGAACCCTGGACTCTCAGCACACACCCAGCTCCACTGGCCACAGAAGCGTTTAGACACTCAGGGCTCACAAAGGCTGTGCTGTCAGCCCACACACAGAAGGAAGAGCAGAGTCATGTAGATAAATTCCGGGAGAAGATTCTGTTGTCACCCTGTAACTCCTATCTTCAGCAGGAAAGCAGAAGCAAAGATAAATATTTGTATGTTCAAGGTAGTTAAATTTTTAAAAATATATTCCATATAAACCTAGGAAAATGGTACTGAAGAACCTATTTGCAGGGCAGGAATACAGATGAAGACGTAGAGAACAGACTTGTGGACATGGGGCGGAGGAAGGAAGGGAGAGACAAACTGAGAGAGCAGCACTGAAACATGTACATGACCATGTGTGAAATAGACAGCTGGTGGGACGCTGCGGTATCACAGGGAGCTCAACCCAGTGCTCTGTGACAGCCCAGAGGGGTGGGAGGGGGTTCAGGAAGGAGGGGTATACATATACTCATGGCTGATTCGCATGGTTGTACAGCAGATACCAATGCAACATTGTAAAGCAATTATCCTCTAATTATAAATAAATTAATATACATATATATTCCATTTATCAACAGAGTTATCAAGTTTAGGAATCATACATGAGTCCTGGAAGATGTGGAATGAAGTGTAGGAGGTTTGCTTATAAGAAAATGACTGAGAGATGCTGAAATGGGGTTTACTTTATAGCAACAGCTTGTATCCAGGATCTCGTTCATCTTTCTAGGTCTACTTTCTATCATTCCTTTAGTGGACATGGTTATTATTGACCAATGTTTATTCCTTGTAATGTGCTTAAACTACCTGTCAATGGAGTCCTTCTGTTCTGGGTTAGTTTTCTGTAACTCATCTTCCTCTTTATCCTGCAGGAGGTTCTGTTTCCAGGCTGACAAGATCAGCTGGTTGCAAGAAGGGGAAACACAAGCGTAAGAAGCCTCTTGTGTGGTTGGACGGCAGGAGCGCCAAAGATCACTTCTGTCCCCACCAGGATGGACCGCCCTGGTGCCCCTCCTCCGCCTCCTGTCCCCGGGCCTCTAGCCCCTTGCTCCCAGCTGCAGTGATGGTTCCCAGCTCAGCCCCTTGCCTCGTCCCAGCTCCTCCCGTCCCAGCCACGACCTCCCTTGGCAGAGAACATGAAGCCTCGGTAACTGTACTGCCAAGGCTGCCTGAGCCACCCTTGCCTAGCAGCCTGCAGTATTTCCCAGCTCTGCCTTCTGCTCACTTTGACACTTTTATGAACATCTTCCTGCATAATCCCTCTCTCTCTCCCCTCTCGTCATCATCATTCTCCCCATATCCCTTCTTGGGAGCAGCACCCTCTTCGGAAATACTCTCTTCGGTATCAGCAGTGGCTCCAAACCCAGGCCCACCATCTTCAACCATCAACCCAAGGAGCAGAAAGGAGAGGTGGGAGACATGGAATGAAGGACGCCCCCTCATTAACTCAGGGAGCAGCTCCCTGCTCCAGCTTGACCTCCTGCAGGGGGACAGGCCCCGATCCTGTGTATCCCCAGAAACTGTGTGTGTAAGTGATGCTAACTTCCAGCACACAAGCGAGAAAGTAACTAGGCATCCTCTTATTAAAATTAAGGTTTTTGTGCCAAAGCTCAAAATGAATGGCCTAGTCTGCATTACAGCTAAGGGTAACCTTCATTACAGCTGAGGTTAAGACTTTGTTCTACAGAAACACATGGTATTCCCTCCTGACTCCATTTAAAAAGCTGCAGTGAAAGAATTTTCTATGTCCTGAATTCTTACCTACTTTGCTAGGTTTTCCCCCAAGTGCTATCTTTCAAACTTTATTTGTGAACTGGATTTCCCCTCTGCTTTAAAATTTGATATCTAGGTATTAATCTTAAATGTTCATTGCCTAGAAAAAATATGTTCTCTTACAACTGGGGTTATGGGCTGTTTAGATTAGGAGCAAGCATACTGACAAGACATAAATTTAACAGTTTTACTTTTTCAGACATAACTGTGGAATAGCAGGTCTGTATGGGGAGAGCTCCTTTCTGTCATTATTTATCAGTAAAGTAGGCAGTTTATAGTTTTATACTGATACATATAAATTTTATATGAAAAAATTTTTGTCACTTTCCTTTAACTTTTCATCTCTTTACGGAAAAAGGCCTTCTCAGATTTATTTGTCAGTTTAAACTTCGGGGTAAGACTTTCCTATATTTAGATATAGGATCCAAGACAAGCATAAGTATTTTCACTAAGGTTTTCTTCAGTCCTCCCTTCAAGGTATAACCATTTTAACAAATGTTCAGAATCTGATGATCTAGATCAAGAATCAGGGATCTTCCTGAGTCAGGGATTGAACCTGGGTCTTCTGCATTGCAGGCAGATTCTTTACTATCTGTGACACCACAGTAGCCCTGGAATGTGCTCAGAAAGCAGTAGTGAACTTCGCTGGTGGTCAAGGGGCTAAGATTCCATGCTTCTAGTACAGGAGGTCTGGGTCCGATCCTTGGTCAGTGAACTAGAACCCACATGCTGCAACCAAGAGTTTGCATGCCTCAGCTAAAGACTGTGCATGCCTCAACCTGCCACAACTAAGACCCAGTACAGCCTTTTATTATATATATGTGTGTGTGTGTGTGTGTGTGTATATGTATACACACACACACACACACACAAGCCATATCTTTAACATTATATGCAAAGGAACTTTGGCCACATTCTTGGGGACAGGCTGAAAATATTTTACTTCTCAGTTATGTATTGATATGTACTTTTTTTTCTGTTTAACATGTGAAGTTGAAGATCTGCCAGTTATTCTGTAATATGATGCTTGAGATGTTCAGTCTCTTTCCTTGTGTTCTTACTTTCCAGCAGGGTGTCAGTGGCAGCGGTGGGACTAAGATAGATGGTTTTACTACCAAGAAACCATCCATAGCATCACTGCACTCGGCATCTCCACCAGGAATGGGCTCTGCAGCATCAGGTAGTGGCTCAAAGTGACACATTCTTCATACCCCGTGGTCAGGAGATCGCCGTGTAATGGGCTTTCGGGTGTTGGCCCTGGCATGAAAGTTTTGTTTTTTTTTGTAAGCTGTATTGAGGAATATTTATATAAAATAAATTCACCACATTTAGGGGTACAAAATAAGAATTCTGACAAGGATTTATGGCAGTGTAACCACCACCACAGTCATACAGTCATACAGAATGTTTCCATCACCTGGAAACATTCTTCTTTGATTCATTGCAGTCAGAGCCCGTCCCTAATCCTCTGGCTCTTGGCAGGCACTGATCCACTTTGTCACTTTAACACTGCTCTTTCTGTAATTTCACATAGATCAAATCATCCAGTGTGCAGTCTTTTGTGTCAGGGTTCTCTTGAGTTAGCAGAGAGCTGTTAAGATTCATTCATATTGTGCATATCAGTAATTTGCTCCTTTTTATTGCCTAGTGGAATTGCATTGTATGAATAGCCATTCACCAGTTGATGGTTTATTCAGTACTTTCCAGTTTGGGACTATTAAGAATAACACTGCTGTGAGCATGTAAGTGTGAGTCTTTTTGTGGACATATGTTGTCATTTTTCTTGGTTAAATACCTAGAAATGAAATTGCTAGGTCACATGGTAAGTTTATGGCTAACTTTATAAGAAACTGCATACTGTTTTCCAAAGTGGCTATATCATTTGCATCACTGTCAGCCACATATAAAAACTCCGATTTACAACACCTCCTGGCCAACACAGGACATTGTCTATCATTTAAATTTTAGCCATTCATGTAGATGTGTACTGAAAGCTCATTGTGGTTTTAGTTTTGACTGTTGATTCATGGTGTTGGCTGTCTTCTTGTCTACTAATTTTCCATCCAGATATGTTCATATCTGGGCTTGTTAGTTTTTTTACTGAGTAGTAAGATTTCTATGTGTATTCTGGATACAAATCTGTTATCAAACACTCATTTTTCTTCCCTGTGCGTGGCTTGCCTTTTTATTCAGTTTTTTATCTTTATCTTCACTTTGAAGAGCAAATGTTTTTATGAAGTTCAGTTCATCAACTTTTTCTTTTATAGGTTGTGCTTTTTGTGTCCTTTTTAAAGAAGTTCATGCCTAACTTTAAGTCACTAAGATGGTCTCCTGTTTTCTCTTGGAAATTTTACAAGTTAAGCTTTTATAGCTAAGTCTGTAGTCCATTTTTAGTTACCTTTTATGTATGTGGAAGGAGCTCCTCTCCTTCCACAGGCAAACTAAAATTGCAGCTGTTTCCAGAACACCTATCAATGAAAAAGATCAGAACCTACATCTCCCATTGGACTTCCCTGGTGGTCTAGTGGCAAAGAATCAATCCACCTGCCAATGTATGGGACACAGGTTCAATCCCTGGTGCAGGAAGATTCCACATGCCGAGGGCAGCTGAATCTGGGAGCCACAACTACTGAGCCTATGCTCTAGAGCCTGCGATCTGCTACCACTGAACCCACGTGCTCTGTAGAGCCTGAGCTCTACAACAAGAGGAGCCTCTGCAATGAGAAGCCTATGCGCCCTGACTAGAGAGTAGCCCCCACTGTCAACAGCTAGAGAAAGCCCGCATGCAGCAGTGAAGACCGAGTGTAGCCAAAAGAATTTTTTTCAAAAAAAAATCTTCTGCAACTAATGATAAAGAAGGAGCCATGAGATGGGTAGGTGGTGGGGGTCACAGTTTAATGAAGACCCATATTCCCCAGTGTGTGACCCATGAATGAAAGAGTAATCACAATTGCAAGGCTGTCCCTAATGAGCATGGGGTCTGGTCCCCATGTTGGTTCCCACAGCCTGGGCATCCTTCTCCAGGAAGATGAGCTCTCCGAATGGTTGACTTTGAAGCCCAGCAGGGCTTACTTTGAGGAGAGTCAGAGGGATGTAGGAGAGACTCCACTCTTAAAAGGTGCACACAGACTCTCACATGGACCTAGGGCAGAAGCAATAATCTGAAAGGAGCCTGGGTCAGACCCACAGGCGGAAGTTGGACAGTCCCCTAGGAAGCCATTCCCTTCTCTAGGGGATCTTCCTGACCCAGGGATCAAACCCGGGTTTCCTGCATTGTTGGCAGATTCCTTATAGTCTGAGCCACCAGGAAGCCCCCCAGGGAGGCAGGAGCCAGTTAATGGAAGCTCACCCTCAAGGATGTAAGCCCTGATGGCAGCCACTTGGGGGCACTCATTCTAACACATGGACTCCCGTGCTGGCTCACACCATTTTGGAATCTTCCCTTTAGCTTATTCGTCTCCAAACCCAGCCTCACCCATATCCACTGGCCTTAGGCACCAGTGCTGGGACATTTCAGGCCAAGTAACTAACTGGGCAGGGACATAGCCCCACCCAAGAGCAGACAGGCTGCCTTAAGACCCCTGAGTCCACACCTTCCCCTGGACATGACTCTGCCCACCAGGGGGCCAAGGGCTAGGCCCCACACACCCGTGTGCAGGCCCTAGACCTGGGACACCCAGGACCCTATACACAGAGACCCTGGGATCCGGCTCCTCCCACCAGCAGCGGGCACCAGACCCAGAATCTCTTGCCTCAGCCACCAGCAAGCCTGCTCTAGCTGCAGGCCCAGCCTCACCCACCAGCAGACAAGTACCAGTGCAGGAAAGAGACAGTCCTGTAGCCTATGGACCTAGCTCTCAACGTGAGCAGGCCAGCACCAACATCAGGACCAGCTGGGCCCTGGCCCTGTCCACCAGAAGGCCAGCACAAGCTTCAAGACACCCTGGACCCCTCACCCAGCTGTGTCAGGTACCAGCCCCACCCACTGGCAGTATGACATCAGCTTTGGGACCTCTGGGTCCTGCAGCCAGACTCCAGGACACATCTCTGCCTGCCAGCGGGCTGGCGGGATCCCCCGGACATTGACTTCACCCACCAGTGAATCAGCACCCACCCCAGTGCACCCATCTCAGCCCCTGGGTGCTGCCCCCAGGTGCCTTGTGGTCCTTGCAGCCCCCGCAAAAGACAAGGCCTCGGAACCGACCAGACAAGGGGATAACGAAGCCTACCAGACCACCCATGGTAGCTAGCCTGCCACAACAGAAGGGTCCCAGCAGCTCACTTAGGGGTCACTCCTAGAGCAAGCATATAGCTCTAGTGACCAGAGGGGAGTATGCTTCTGAAACACTGGGACATCTCCTACAAAAGGCCACCTCTCCAAGATCAGGAAACATAACCAACCTACATAGACATGAAAACAGCCATTTCGGCAAAATGAGGCAACACAGAAACATGCTCCAAGCAAAGGAAAAAGATTTAAACCCCAGAAGAGCTAAGTGAAGTGGAGATAGTCAATCTACCCAAGAAAAAGTTCAAGGTAATGATTGTAAAGATGATCAGAGAACGGGAAGAAGAATGGATAAACAGAAAAATTAAAAGTTTTTAACAAAGAATTAGAAAATATAAAGAACAACCAAAGATGAAGAATACAATAACTGAAATGAAAAATACACTAGAAGAAATCAATAGTAAACTAAATGATAGAGGGGACTAGACCAGTGAGGTGGAAGACAAGTAGTAGTGGTAATCACTGAAGCTGAATAGAAAACAGAATAAAAAGATGTAAGGACAGTTTGAGACATCTGAGACAACTCCCAGGCATACTAATATTCACATTATAGAGGTTCCAGGGGAAAAAGGGAAAGAAAAAGGATTAGAGAATATACTTGAGGACATAATAGCTGAAAGTAGCCCATTTTAACCTAGTCACAGGTTACTGAGAAAGGAAACATATACAAGCCCAGGAAGAAAAGAATCCCGAACAGAATCTACCTAAAGAGAACCTCAGCAAGGTACATTGCAATTAAAATGGCAAAAATTAATGATAAATAGAGAATATAAAGAAATAATAGCTGGGGACTTCCCAAACATGGGAGAGGAACTAGATATATTAATAAAAGTCCATGAAGCTGAGAGAATACCTAATTAATTCAATGCAAAAATACTTTCTTTCCAAGACACATTATATTAAAACTGTCAAAAGTCAATGGCAAAGAATTTTAAGGGCAATTAATGGGCAAAGGATAATAGCCTACAAAGGAACCCCCATTTGGCTATCAGCAGTTTTCTCAACAGAAACTCTGTAGGCCAAGAGGAAGTGGAATGATGTTCTCAAACTACTGAAATATAAGAACTGTCAGCCAAGAATATCCAGCAAAGCTATCCTTCAGATATGAAAGAGAAATACTTTCATAGGAAGTTTATCACCACTAGATCTGCCTTACAAGAAATGTTCAAAGAAGCTCTTCTGCCTGAAATGAAAAGGCCAAAGTACACAAAACCTTGAGTGAGATATAAATAGAATCAGAAAATCCCAACTCAGTCAGAATAGATTTTTAGACACACTGTTGGAGCATAAAGTTAAAAGGAAGGAAAGCAGTAAAAACAACTAAAGCTACTTCAGTTTGGTAACAGACTCATAATATGAAAGGGGATCATTTAAGACAACTAGAACATGAAAGGGGAAGAGGAAGAGGACAGACCTGTATGGGTAAGTGAAGATAAGATACTATCAGCATACAAAGGGCTATTTTATTTATGATGTATTTTATGCAAACCTCATGGTAATCACAAAACATAAATCCAGAGCAGAAATCTGAAACCAAAAAAAAAGAGGAAGTTGAGAAAAAGATTATAGAAAACCACCAAACCAAAATGGCAGACAGAAACACAAGGAAAAAGAAACAATGTGGGAAGAGAGCACACAGAAAACAAAAGATTAAAAGGCAGTGCTAAATCCCCACTTGGCAATAATCACCATAAGAGTAAATGAATTTGTCAATCAAAAGACACAGCATGGTTGGAGTATTGCAAAGCAAGACTCAACTATATGCTGCCTCCAAGAGACCTGTCCCAGCTCAACAGAAAAACAGATGCAAAAGAAAGGATGGAAAATGGTACTCCAAGCAGATGGCACCCAAAAGAAGGTTGTGTGGCCATACTTGTATCGGACAAAGTAGACTTCAAGCCAAAAAAAGGTAATGAGAGACAAAGATGGACGTTATATGATGATAAAGGGGATGAGTCATCAGGAAGACTTAACAGTTATTAATATTTATGCACCTAGCATAGGAGCACTCTTTGCGAACCCATGGACTGTAGCCCACCAGGCTTCTCTGTCCATGGGATTCTCCAGGCAAGGTTACTGGAGTGGATAGCCATTTCCTTCTCCAAGGGATCTTCCCAACCCATGGATCAAACCTGGGTTTCCTGCATTGCAGGCATATTCTTTACCATTTGAGCTACCAGGGGGACTTTAAAACTCCACTTACATCAATGAATAGATCATCCAGACAGCAAGGATGTGTTGATGGATGTGTGTGGTCAGTTCAAATGCAGTAGAATACACATTCTTCTCAAGTCCATATAGAACTTTCAGGGATAGTTCACATGTTGGGACACAAAACAAGTCACAAGGCATTAAAGAAGATGGAAATCATATCATGCCTTTTACCCCCAATTACAGTGGTAGGAAAATAGAAATTAACTATGAGAAGAAAGCTGAAAAACTCACAAATATGTGGAGACTGAGGTGGTTCAGTAGGTAAAGAATCTGCCTGAAATGCAGGAGATGCTGGCAGAGACAGGTTTGATCCCTGGGTCCGAAGATCCTCTGGAGGAGGAAATGGCAACCCACTCCAGTGTTCTTGCCTGGAGAATCCCATGGACAGAGGAGCCTGGTGGTCTACAATTCATAGGGTTGCAAAGAGACACAACTGAGTGACTTGAGCACAAACATGATACTGAACAACTATTGAGTCAAGAAATCAAAGGAGACATTAAAAATTACCTGAAGACAAGTGAAAATATAACATATCAAAACCTATGGGATGCAGGGAAAAAAATACTAAGAGTACAGTTTATAGCAATCCAAGCCTACTTCAGGAAACAAGAAAAATATCAAACAGTCTAACTTTATACCCAAAAGAACTAGAAAAAGAAGAGTAAATGAAGCCCAAAGTCAGTAGGAGGAAGGACATAAATATCAAGGTGGGAAGAAATGAAATTGAGATAAAATTCACAAACCTTTAGCTAGGCTAAGAAGAAAAAATGACAAAGCTCTGACAAATAAAACCAGAATTGAAAGAGGAGAAATACAGTGATACTACAGAAATACAAAGGATTAGATAAGAATATTATGAACAGTTACATGCCAATTACCTGGACAGCCTAGAAGAAATAGAGAAATTCTTAGAGTCATATAACCTGCTAGGACTAAATCATGAAGAGATGGTAACCCACTACCATCAGACCAGTCAAATAGACCAGTCACTAGTAAAGAGAATAAAACAGTCATCGAAGATGTCCCAAAAAACAGAAGTCAAGGACCAGACAACTTCTCAGGTGAATTCTATGCCAAGCATTCAAAGAAGGTTTAATACTACTTTTCAAACTCTTCCAAAGAATTGAAGAGGGGGAAACCCTTTCCAGCTCATTTTACAAGGTTGTCATCATCTGATGCCAAAACCAGACAAAGACAGCCCACACACACAAAGAAAATTACACACCAGTTATCTCTGATGAACATTAACCCTCAAGTGTGAAAGTCACTCAGTCATGTCTGACTCTTTGTGACCCCATGGACATACATGGAATTCTCCAGACCAGAATACTGGAGTGGGTAGCCTTTTCCTTCTCCAGGGCATCTTCCCAACCCAGGGATCTAACCCAGATCTCCTGCATTGCAGGCAGATTCTTTACCAGCTGAGCCACATATTAGCAAATACATTTAGAGGATCATACATTATGATCACTCCAGTATTCTTGCCTGGAGAATCCCATGGACAGAGGAGCCTGGCAGGCTACAGTCCATGGGGTCGCAAGAATCAGACACAACTTAGTGACTAAACCACCACCACCACCACATTATGACCAAGTGGGATTTATTCCAGGGAAGGAAAGATGTTTCAGCATCCATAGATCAATTAGGGTGAAATAATGTGGCTAACAGGATGAAGGATAAAAATTATCTCTATATATGTGGTAAAAGCATTTGACAAGATTCAACATCTGTGATTTTAAAAACTCTATAAAATGGGTATAGAAGGAACATGAAAGTGAAAGTGTTAGTCACTCAGTCACACCAGTTCTTTGCGACCCCATGGACTATAGCCCTCCAGGCTCCTCTGTCCATGGAATTCTCCAGGCAAGAATGCTGGAATGGGTAGCCATTCCCTCTCCAGGGGATTTTCTCAACTCAGGGATCAAACCTGGATCTCCTGCATTACAGGCGGATTCTTTACCATCTCAGCCACCAGGGAAGCCCCAAAGTTCCATTTTATCTCCATTGTTGACTTCTCAGCTATTCTTTTTTTCTTTTCTTTTTTTCCTTTTTAAAAAAATTATTTTAGTCATTGCTGTAGGGTTTATACATATGTCTTCTACTTATCACAGTTTATACTGTTATTTCACTTTTTGTCTTAGAACTTCCATTTCGTCCTCTTGTCTTTTGTGCTAAGTAGAATGTATTACAAGTCCCACAGTAAAAATGTTGCTGTTTTTGGCTTTAAATAATTACCTTTCAAAGAGATTTTCTTCTAATGAGGAAAAATGTCTTATATATTTATCCATACACTTATTTTTTAAAAATTATGTACTTCATTTTGTTTTAATTGTTCCGAAGTCAATGAGAAGGACCTGGAAGGATCAGATGCAGGATGGGGAAGGAATGATCTATGAGGCTCCATAGCCGCTGTAAAGGCATGGGCCTTGGCACGGATGGATGGCTTCTCTGCTTCAATAGGAAGGCAATGAAGAGAGAATGCACATATGAGTAAATTTGTGTTTGGCATCAGGGTAATGAATTTCATTTCTCATGGCTTCCTTTTCTTTCCTTGTAAGTGAGACTGAGGAAGGAAATAGAGGATCAGAAGATAATCCTTCTGGAAATAGATAGTGCACTGGCCAGAGAACTGTACCAGGATTACAGGCTTTCTGATGGTCGGTCCTTTGGTGATGATGAATTTACTGCAAAACTGATGTACCCTGTTCCATGTGACTTTCTCTATGCTTTTGGCAACTTGGTTCAGATAAGAATGGAATTAATGAGTTGACGTTTTGATACTGTGGGAAATTAAAGGGAAGAAGACTCAGGTATGGCAGAGTGTTACTGAGTTATAGGCTTTGTTTGGGTTCTATGCAGGACTAAAGCTCTGTTCCAGACGTGCAGTTGTAACAGTTGAACAAGCAAGGGAGAAAGAGGAGCTGAGACGCTGGGACTTTGGAGGTGCGGCTGAGATGCAACAGTTACGGGTGATGATGAGAAGGGCGCTGTGACCTTGAGGAGCGGATAGTTCAGGAAGACTGAGGAGATCTTGGAAGGATGGAGGAACGGGAAGGCTGAGGTGACCTGGGATGGCTCTGGGCTGGGTGGTGAAGGACACTTACCTGTTAGTCGCCCAGGCCTTTGAAGAACGAGGACCAGCCTGGCAGGTCAGCCCCTGGCAGGTATGTTCTAATTTGGCTTTCTTTGTTGTTGTTGATTTTTGATAGGAAGTGGTGACAGCTGTATAAACTTTGCTTCTAGTGATTATTCTTCAGAAATCTCTCAAAATGGGCAGCAATCTCAGGACATACAGAAAAAAGAAACATTTCCTAAGTTAGCTGAAGAGTCCATCTGGAGAATGATAAAGCAGACACCTGACTGCATTCTAATGACGTATCAGGTGCCTGAGAGGTAAGAAGCATGTTGGAAGACCCACCTTTATATAAGTGTTCTGTGGTTTCTTGTGTTTTTTAATACAAAGTGATTTTAGCATTTTTATACATATCCTCAGAGATATGTATTTTCAAATTCATTGATTTGAAGTCAAATGGTGAATGATTTCTTAAAACAATGGTTGTGGTGGAAGTGGATGCAAACGTTATGTGTCATAAGGTGAAAACAAAGAGAGGCAGTGCTTTCCAAGATGGCTCACAGGTACATGAACTATTTTTAGAGTCTGGACTTTATTTTTCTCATTCTAAAAGAAGATCTAAAGGAAACCTTTCTTCCATATGACTCATTAAAACTCATTAAGCAGGTGTTTTCCATCAAGAAAAAGAGGTCTAGCTTTACCAACTTGACAAAGAAATGAGTCAGTTTTTTTTTTCAATGTGAGATATGAAATCATACTTTAATGAGAGATTTGAAGTATGTTGCAAACCAAAATGAAGTGTTGGTCTTGGATGACAAGATAAGAACCCTGTGCCTTATTTAAGACTGTGAAGCTTTTGTTTGTCCACTTTTTTGTTTTCAGGGTTAAAGAAATTGTACTGAAAGAAGACCTAAAGAAGCTGGAAAGCATGAGACGGCAGCAGCCACAGTTTTCTCTAGGGCAGAGGGAGGAGATAGCCAACGTGCGTTCCTGGATTCGGTGCCGGACGATCCCTCAGGAAATAGACACCCAGGTAAGCACAGTAATAGCAGCTGTCGTGTGCTGATGGCTTTGTGCTGGCCAGTGTTCTGGGCTCTGGCTGTACCCTTGTCCCTTGGTGTCTGCAGGGGACTGGTTTCAGGACTCCCGGCGGCTTCCAAAATCCACAAATGTTCAAGCCCCTCACGTGAAACAGCGTAGTATGTGCATATAACCTGTGCACATCCTCCTTGAGGCTTTCCTGGTGGTTCAGACAGTAAAGAATCCCCCTGCAGTGCAGGAGATCTGGGTTCAATCCCTAGGTCAGGAAGATCCCCTAGAGAAGGGAATGGCTACCCACTCCTGTACTCTTGCCTGGAGAATTCCATGGACAGAGGAGCCTGGTGGGCTGCAGTTCCTGGGGTCACAGAGAGTCAGACACAACTGAGCGACAAACACTTTCACTTTACTTCACTATGCAGTCCTCCCATACATCCTAAATCATCTGCAGATTACTTATAATACCTAATCCAGTGTGCTGCTGCTGCTGCTAAATTGCTTCAGTTGTGGTTGCCATTGCCTTCTCCATAATCCAGTGTAAATGCTGTTTCAATAGTTGTAAATTCAATGTGCATGCTATGTAAATAGTTGCCAGTGCATGGCAAATTCAAGTTGTGCCTTTTAGAACTTTCTGGAATTTTCATCCCCAAATGTTTTGGATCTGTGGTTGCTTGAATCTGTGGATGTGGAGCGTGCAGATACAGAAGGCCCACCATGCATTGCATTATTCCACTGGAAACCTTACTTCTCACAACTTCCTCTGTGGGAGGTGTTATTACCCCTATTTTACCAATAGCAACAGAGTGAGGCCTTGTGTATCATGGATCAAATTTCAGTTCCATGGTAAGGATTTGAACCCTTGAGTGCTGACTGGACTGTGTCGTTTTGTGTAAGGATGTGAACATCCGTAGATTTTCACAGCCTCGGGGCTCTGGAGCCAAGCCCCCTGCACAAACTGAGACACAACCATGTAAGTTCACACGGTTCATCGGACTTTAAATACAGGTCTTTCTGACTCCAAGTGGCTTTTTCTCTCACCAGTTGGAATGTTATGGGCGAATTAGGAATAAAGACACCTGGTTTGATCCATGCTTGACTAGAGAGGAGAGTATAAGATTTGCATGTCAGATACACATGCACGTTTGAAAAGAGTTCAAACTCAAGATGTTAGATTCATGCCAGAGGTAGGATTTCTGTGGGTAGAATATATGAAGAATGAGCCTCAGAACAATTCAAGCAAAAGTATTTAAATGATTACCATCATTTACCTTCTAATAATGAAGAATGAAGTATAATAGATAGTCTTATTAAATAAATATAGTTAAATTAAATAAATTAGTTAAATTAAATAAATATAGTATAAATAAGTAATAAATAGTCTTATTAAATAAATTATGTGGGGGAATTAGACATAGGTTGCTAGGCCAGCATTTTACTGACTTTAGAACTTTGCAGATGACTTGACATCAACTAACCTACCTACTCTTGTCCCCCTTTGGAGGGCTGTGTCACCTGCGGACACAGAGACTCAGCTGGTGATGCTGCAGACCCCAAGGTCTGGATCCAACAGAAGCAGCAGCCAAGTGACTCTGAAGAAGGACCTGCACTGCCTCTCCAGACCTGCTGGACTGTTCCTCCTCCCTGTGATTCTTTCTGAACCCTTGCAGCTTAAGTGACCAAGAAGCTGTCATTGAATGTTAAGGCTTTCCCTTCTTGATTTTTTAGCAGACATCATTTTCCTGAAGCAGACATTGTATATAGACTCTTTCACTCCTCTTTTTTCCCAATGTATTTAAACTGTCGAATAGACTCTTTTTCTAGTTTATTAGCTGTCCTTTAATGAGACTGGATGGCCTCTAAAGAGGTATGTGTACAGCCAAACTTCATTTCAGGTGTCACCCCAAATAAATTGTAATTAGGAATAAAGCAAGAAAAAACCCAAACGTTAGCCTCATTGGTTTTCTGTTGTTAGGTGAATCATTTCCTCCCCAACCAGTAGAGACTTGAAGAAATCCCCACTGGAGGTCACATACCTTTCCTGACAGTCTCCATAACCGTGTTGCCCTCACCTCGTCTTCACACAGTAACATGTGCCTCCACAGTTAAGCTCCAACATTCCAGAGTTCTCACAACACAGGTCACTCCAGCATTTACCAGTATGAAAACATATTGTTCATTGGTATCCTGGAAATGCCTAGTTTTTAGGGTTGAACTTTGATGTTCATTCTTGTAGATGCTTTTCCTTTTTGATTTTCTGCCTTCCACTGAAATCCTGGAAGTCTTTTTAAACATAGCTCAGCTTGGGCTTCCCTGGTGGCTCAGTGGTAAAGAATCCACCTGCCAGTGCAGGAGACAGGGGTTTGATCCCTGATCCAGGAAGATCCCATATGCTGTGGAGCAGCTAAGCTCGTGTGCCACAGCTATTGAGCCTGTGCCCTAGAGCCCGGGAGCCACAGCTACTGAAGTCCACTTGTGCTAGAGCCTGTGCTGCACACCAAGAGAAGCCACGCAGTGAGAAGCCCATACCCGCAGCTGGAGGGTAGCCCCCACTCACCACGACTAGAGAAGAGCCCGTGCCGCAACCAAGACCCAACACAGCCATGAATAAATAAATATATTTTTAAAAAAAACAGATCAGCTTACAGTGGGCTTATTCCTTGAAGGGTGTAAATTATCTTTTGCATGTGTAATGTTAAAAACAAAAGAGCTTCTAGCTCAACCAGCTTCTGACTCATCTCTTTTTACATTTTTAAATAATGATTGTAAATGTTTTTAAAGTTATGTAAGTTCTTATGCATGTGTGTTTAAATGTTGTCCTATCAAAACTAACAATTCACTCTTCTTTTTTAACCAATTTATGCAAAAGGCGGTCTCTCCATCCCTGCCAGAGGTCTGATGGCCACTGTCTTCTTTTTTCCCCTAAATAAAGGTGAGTGTTGCCCTTCCTTAAGTAGGGGTGAGGGGTCGCTGGGAGGGCCCTCCCAGCAGGGGTGCCAAGTCTGCCACAAATCAGGGCTTCCTGGGCCTGCTGTAGTCATTCTCCTGAGTTCCACATGAGTTGTTCACTTGATAAGTGAGCCCTCTTCTTAGAGAGTTGATGATTCCTTCTCAAACCTGAAATGGTGTGCAATTCACACCCATGCAGGTCAGAACCAGGAATAGAAGAAAATGAAGACCCCAGTAACCTTTTCCCTTTTAAATAACACGCAACAAACTAACTTACTTTTCTTCTTTTGTTGTTGTGTTTTTTAGGAAAATGCTTCTTCTTTTCAAGTTTTATAGCTTTTCATAAAATGCATCCTGGTCATAATCAGGAGAATCGGCCTTTCTATCCACGATGCTGCTCGACCCTGACCTGAAGCCCACAGCGTAGATTTAGTTTCTAAAGTAGAACAGTTGGCCCTTGGTATCTGCAGGGGCTTGGTTCCAGGACGCCCCGCAGATACTAAGATCCGTGGACACTCAGCTCCCTTCTATAACAGGAAGGTTCGCCAGCCCTCTGTACCCGTGGGTTCTGCATCCAGAGTTCCCTACCCTCCCCAGTTCTTCCCACCTCAATCACAGGGGCTTACTGTAGTTTCCAGAAGGTACTTCTTTCTCCAACTGTCAGAATCACTTTGAAACAATGACTGTGACTTTTCTACAATTCTCTCACTTGAAGCTGCTCCATGCCCATATTCCTGTCTTAGGCTTAGAGAACTCTCCTATTCTGCTCCATCTTGATTGTTAAATGATCTCTGAAGCCCTCATTGCTTTGGTCAAGTTGTGTGATATTTTTGCCCTTGGTGAAAAATCAAATTTTAAACAGTGAACCAGCCTGGATATTGTCAAGGATAGAATCATTGCATCCTTCTATGCTGATGACCATTTAAACCTGTTTAAATCAGAAATGACACGGAGCAGTCAGAGAACCATTCTGCATCTCCATAAGCACTTTTTAAACATGATCTTCACTAGTACAAGCCCTCTTTTAGATTTCTTTCTGGATATTTGTTTTATTGACAGTTAACTATTTCTTTGCCTTGCTATACATTTAGGCTCAACTTAAAATTGGTGCTTGTTATAAGCAGATCTATAAAACCAGTTACAGTTTTGGTGTTTTGGTAAATAGCTGAGCCGGTGTATTTAGAAATGACCATGATGCTTCTGCTTCTGGGGATGAGCAAAGAAGGCTCAACAGTGCCAGCTTCTCCCCACCACCGGGGCTCCACCCAACTGTAAACCATCGTTCAAGTTTAGTAACTTTTTGTATTGATGCCTATAGAAATTGGTAATAAAAATGTGTACTACAGGTTTCCATGTTGACATGAATGTTACCAAAAGGCTGTGTTTTCTTAGATAAGAGGTCAGAATTTATGAACAACAGATGCTGTGTGAATGGAATCATTTTACAATTAAGTGCAACTTCATCATAACTCAAAAGGTAAATTTAATCCAAATGGAAATTTTGTATCAGCCAAGTTTATCTTTGTGTGGATTTCCCTGTTTTTAATGGTTATTAATATTTTAATAAGGTATCTTTTTTAAAACAAAAACAATGAACGGTGTACATGTAAAACTTGAGAAATTTTTTGCACTGCATGAATAAACCTTTGCCCCGAATACATAAATCACTTATATCATTGAGAAGTATTTATCATTGAGAAGTATTTCGTGAGGTTGAGACACACTGCAGGGTGCTCACGTTAGGGTCATTCTGCACCCATGTCTGTGTCATCACTGCGTCCAAGCTCCTTCTCAATGACAACATGGCAGTCAGTCCTCCCTTAAGAACTGGGCTTTCACTATCTCCTGGAGCTTGCTCAAACTCATGTCCATCGAGTCAGTGATGCCATCCAACCATCTCATCCTCTGTCACCCACTTCCCATCCTGCTGTCAATCTTCTGCAGCATCAGGGTCTTTTCCAGTGAGTCGGCTGTTTGCATCAGGTAGCCAAAGTATTGGCGCTTCATCTTCAGCATCAGTCTTTCCAATGAATATTCAGGGTTGATTTCCTTTAGGGTTCACTTGTTTGATCTTCTTGCAGTCCAAGGGACTCTCAAGAGTCTTCTCCAGCACCGCAGTTCAAAAACATGGATTCTTTGGCACCCAGTCTTCTTGATGGTCTGACTCTCACATCCATACATGACTACTGGAAAGCCATAGCTTTCACTACATGGACTTTGGCAGCAAAGTGATGTTTCTGCTTTTTAATACACTATCGAGGTTTGTCATAGCTTTCCTTCCAAGGAGCACGTATCTTAATTTCATGGCTGTAGTCACTGTCTGCAGTGTTTTGGAGCCCAATAAAAGAAAATCCCTCACTGCTTCCACTTTTTCCCCTTCTATTTGCTGTGAAGTGATGAGACTAAATGACATGGTCTTAGTTTTTTGAATGTTGAGCTTTAAGTCAGCTTTTTCACTCTCCTCTTTCATCCTTATCAAGAGGTTCTTTAGTTTCTCTTCACTTTCTGCCATTAGAGTGGTATCATCTGTGTATCAGGGGTTGTTGATCTTTCTCCCAGCAACATTGGTTCCAGCTTGTGATTCATTGAGGTAGCATTTCACATGATGTACTCTGCATATAAGTTAAATAAGCAGGGTGACAATGTACAGCCTTGACATTCTCCTTTCCCAATTTTGAACCAGTCTGTTGTTCCATGTCCAATTCTTACTGTTGCTTTTTGACAGGTTCTTAGCAGACAGGTAAGGTGGTTTGGTAGTCCTGTCTCTAATAATTTTCTGCAATTTGTTGTGATTCACACAGTCAAAGGCTTTAGCATAGGCAGTGAAGCAGAAGTAGATGTTTTTCTGGAATCCCTTTGCTTCCTCTTTCATCCAACAAGTGTTGGCAATTTGATCTCTGGTTCCTCTATTTTTGCTGAATCCAGCTTTGTACATCTGGAAGTTCTTGGTTCACATACTGCTGACACCTGGCTTGAAAGACTTTGAGCATTACCTTGCTAGCATGTGAAATGAGTGCAATTGTATTTTAATGCCTAATTTATAAAATTTAGCTATCAAAGTTACTCTTTCAGATTCTGTAGCATGAACCTGTGTTTCACAAAATCTGACTGTGGAACCCAGCAGCAACAGTCTCAGAATTAAAATATGAATTGGGATCCTGAAGCCAACAGGATTTGTTAAACATCACCCCTTTCAAACCACCTGCACCTCCAGTCACAAAAAAACAACCCAGGAAGGGAAGAGAGTGTGTGCTCTGCCCACAGGGACTGTTCTGGTGCTTCCCTGTGAATTATCTCATTTAATGTTAGCAACCACCCAGGAAATATGTAGTGTCACTGCTCACATTTGATGGAGAAGGACACGGGGGTGGTGGGGGTTGGATGACCTGCTTGAGGACTCACAGCTGTGTGGTCACAGGGACCTGACTCCAGAGCCCTGGCAGTAAGAGCAGTCACCATGTGTCTGTCACAGAACAGGAGGGGTTTCGGGTTCTACTGCAATGATGAAATCCACTCTGACCTCTTCCTGGCATCATAAACGTTTTGTAGTCTGTGGTGCTAGAGTCCTGTGTTAGAGGATTGAATTCAGTTGAACTTCAGCATCAAGCGATGCTACAGCATCCTCCCAGCCAGCATGGTCCTGAGATGATACATCCATCCTTCAAGTTGAAAACAAACTGCCGTACTGATATGTTCTTGATGCCTTAAATA